TGAGTGTTGTATGGTTGGTAGGAGGTGTTCAAATGCGTTCTGAAAATGACAAATTGGAAGCTATTTATTGTCAGAAGAAGGATTTGCTGAGCATTTGCAAAGGCTCTCTTTTAGTTTATTTTTTACAGGGAAGTGAAAAAAGCTGTGGGGCAAAACTTTTCTTGTCTAATATTTTCATGTAAGGCCCAGATAGTTAGATGGTGAGTTTTTCATGACAAGGAACAGCACTTGAACGATTTTTTCTGTGGGACTCTTCGGGCTTGTGTCTCCTGTTGCCAACTTTAGTTGTTTGCTTGTTTGTGGGAATGGGATTTCTTATCTGCTTAAATTATGCGAGAGATGAAGTTTTTTTATTTAAGCAAACCTATTGGAAAGGTTTTTATCGTGATTACACCCACCAACTAGTGCAAACGACATGTTTAGGCAACAGTCTCACATTAATCATAAGTTTCTTTTTGCTGTCATTTAGATTCATTGGGTATTTACCATTTTTTTCACGTTCTTTACTCCATTTTAACGAAACAGTCTTATACTATTCTTTTATACAGTATTCTTGATTTTCAGGAGGTCTCAGTAATGCTGTCTTTTAAAATTAGGTCATACAGTGGTAATAAGTTTAATTTGCTTTTCTTTGCTAGAAGACTTTCCTTTTTTCTGCTTCATCAAATTACTACTAGTTTATTTTGCTAGACAAGGATGGAGGGAGGGTGGAGAGGGTAGGATAAGTAAAATTTTAGGAATTTATCATAGTTCTGTGGAAATGGAGGGGTTTGAAAAACTTGTTGCCGGTTTTGTTTAGCAGTTTTAGTTGGAGCTTTCGTTCCTGGATATCTGGTTTTTCAGTCAGGTAGCTGAAAGAAACCTTTGTCTTTCTCATTTGTTTATTTATTTATTTATTTTTTTTTTTAGATTGAACGACTGTGTGAGTGCAGTGTACTAGCTGATGTTTGTAGAAACGTGGTATTTGAAGAAACTTTTAGAATGATGACATTCAAATCATCATCATTGGCATTCGGGACAGAATTGTCCTGTAAGTTGTCATTCAAGTAATGTCTTAAATAAAACTTCTGTGCTCATCCGGTACAGAACATACTTGATGAATCATTCCGTACATGATTCATAGTGTTGTGGCAGGAGCAAATGGCAAATCGCTCGTTCCTTTTATTCTTATTTATGTATAT